CTCAAATATAGTAAGATCATTCTCTGAAGTGCAAGGAAACTCTTACTTTTGCAGGTAATATCAGATATTGATTATCAGATAATTGTATGCATCAGAAATTCTTCACTCAGTGGACTTCTTTCAATCTTTAAATCATATAATTATCAATATATTGTGTAGAAGCTTCTGTGTCCACTAACACTTTTGCAGCCATCTCTCAATTCTTATTCAAGTGCTTTCTATACATTAACATTTCAGGTCTCAAGGCATTGAGATGAATATTCACTTCATCATTCTCATTCACATCTCAGTCAGGAGCCTGCTTCTTCTTTGCATTTGCAGAATTCAGAGAGTCATCTAACACAGGCATCTCTTTCACTTTGAAGGCTTTTTATAGAATATCAGTGAGTGTCTCTGAGCTCACTGATCCTGCTAGTTTTTTAACTGCACATGCTGAGTGCAATCTTTTATATCATGATTTTAGTGTCTGCAGTTGAAACAAGCTCAATGCTCACAATATCAAGATTTTCACTCAGAAGATCTCTTTTTCAGAGAATTCAGTGCTTTAGTAATGGCATTCAGATCTAGATTCATTGTATTCAAGTGTGTGACTTATGTTATAGAAGTCTGATTATCTGTTCTCTGCTGAGACATACTTGATTGCAGTATTTTCTGTCATAATTGACTCACTTATTCCTGTATAATGAGAATGTTGTATGCTTTCTTCACTGTGCCTGACTGTAAGGTTAAGCATTTTCATTCCACTCTCAACTTGAGTGTAAGATCATGAATGAAGATCTGTAAACAGAAAGATGTTGAAAGCTCTTCATTTAATATGAGATAATGTAAGCTGAAGTGTGTGAAGTATGATGTAAGATCACTCACTTATCTACACTCAGTGAAGTGTTCATAATGCTTGTCTTGTACATTCACTTTCTCAAAGTTGTGCAAGATTCACTTGAAAAACTCATTTCATGTTTGTAGAATTGAATATCACTTCAGGTCTATGAGATTCATCTTTTCATCAGTTATTTATAATGACTTTACTTTTCTGCATAGAAACACAGCAGATCTTAAGACTTGTTGAAATTCTGTTAACTGTCTGTCTGTGAGTTCACATTCAATCTGATAATATAATCACATCTGACTTAGCCAGCTGATTGCAGCATCATTTTTTCAGTCACTATTGAAGCTTAATAACTCTGACAGATCTCTCAGCTTGATATATTTCATGCTTGAATTCTCATCCTGTGCAGCAGTCTCTGATGATGTGTACACTTCTGAAGAGGTTATAAATGATTGTGATGAAATCTTCAGGTTCAGTGTAGTTGCCTATCTGTGTAAATGTTCAATCTTCTGCTGCAGGTCTAAGATCTGGTTTTCTCTATTCTTATTGATGATGATGATTGTGTCAGTGAAGCTCTTCATAGTGAATGCTTAGTCTGCAGTGAATGTCAATTGTTGTTTGATCTCTGTCTCAGCCTGTCACTGCATACACAAGACCTTGATCTCATTTAGAATCCTTGTATGTGTACAGAGCTTCAATTCTGGTTTGACAGTCTCAGTCACTTTTCTTACTGCTTTGAGTAAACTCTCTGAGAGGTTCTGCATATCTTCCAGTTCAGGTAGCAGAGAAGAGTGTTGTTTGTATCAGCTAGAAGAGATATTCATTTTGATAGTTTCTTGTTAATTGTATGATATCTATTATTATTGCTGTATTATTATATTGCTATATCACTGTATTGTTATATTACTATATTATTATATCACTATATTGCTCTGTTATCATTGTACAACTCCGGTGATAGTCACCCTCTCTTTTATCCTTCTTTTGAGTAGGAAGTGAACTCCTTTGAATCTGGTTCACTGCTCTCATTCTCTTTCTCACATCTCATCTGTTCATGTCTCATATGTGGCATTTGCCTGAATGTGAAGTTTTTCCTCAACAAGCAAAGCAGTATCAATCAGATGCTCTTCTGCTCACTGCTCTTTGTACACTATCTTTTGAGGTGTTCTAGAACCACACTGGCATGATAACTATGAATTGCTTTGTAGATGGAATTATCATACTCTGAAGAAGCCTGCACTTCTCACCAGTTTTTAGACATGCTATCAGATGTGATTCAAAGGTTGCTTAAGCCAGTATACAATTACAGGCGTACGCCGGCTTCTTATATATTGTAATATCATACACTAATTTAATTAGCGGCCGCTATGGCCCCTTTACACTTGTATGCATACGCTAGTAGTTCGGAAGCGGCCGCGGTATTATCCGACGGTCGTACGTTCTTCCGAACCACACTGAGTGTAATCTTTTACATCATGATTTTAGCATTCATAGTTGAAACAAGCTCAATACTCATAATATCAAGATTTTCACTCAGAGAATCTCTTTTTCAGAGAATTTAATACTTTAGTGATGATATTCAGATCTAGATTCATTGTATCTCAGTGTATAACTTGTATTATAGAAGTCTGATTATCTGTTCTTTACTGAGATATACTCAATTGCAGTATTTTCTGTCACAATTGACTCACTTATTTTCATATAATGAGAATATTGTATGCTTTCTTCACTGTGTCTGACTGTGAGATTAAGCATTTTCATTTCACTCTTAACTCAGATATAAGATCATGAATAAAGATCTGTAAACAGAAAGATGTTGAAAGCTCTTTATTTAATGTGAGATAGTGTAAGCTGAAGTGTGTGAAGTATAATATAAGATTATTCACTTATCTACACTCAGTGAAGCATTTATAATGCTTATTTTATATATTCACTTTCTCAAAGTTATGCAAGATTCATTTGAAAAACTCATTTCATATTTATAAAAATGAATATTACTCTGAGTCTGTGAGATTTATCTTTTTATCAGTTATTTATAATGACTTCACTTTTCTGTGTAGAAACACAGTAAATCTTAAGACTTATTAAAATTCTGTTAACTATCTGTCTGTGAGTTTATATTCAATCTGATAATATAATTGTATCTGACTTAGTCAGCTGATTACAGTATCATTTTTTCAGTTATTATTAAAGCTTAATAACTTCAGCAGATCTCTTAGCTTAATATATTTCATACTCAGATTCTCATTCTGTGCAGTGATCTTTGATAATATATATACTTTTAAAGAGATTATGAATGATTGTGATAAGATCTTCAGGTTCAGTGTAGTTATCTATCTATGTAAATATTCAATCTTTCACTGTAGATCTAAGATCTGATTTTCTCTATTCTTATTAATAATGATAATTATGTCAGTGAAGCTCTTCATAGTAAATACTTAATTTACAGTGAATGTCAATTATTATTTAACTTCTGTCTCAGTCTGTCACTGTGTACACAAGGCCTTAATCTTATTTAGAATTCTTGTATATGTACAGAGCTTTGATTCTGATTCAGTGATTTCAGCTGTTTTTCTTACTGCTTTAAGTAAACTCTCTGAGAGGTTCTGCATATCTTTCAGTTCAGATAGCAGAGAAGAGTGTTGTTTATATTAGCTAGAGAAGATATTCATTTCAGTAATTTCTCATTGATTGTATAATGTCTATCACTATATTACTATGTCATTATATCAGTATATCATTCTATCACTATATTATTATATTACTATATTGTTATATGATTTCTGTTATCATTGTATGACTCTGATAATAGTCATCTCTTTCTTTTATCTCTTTGAGTGAAGAGCAGTCTTCTTTGAATCTGGTTCACTGCTCTCATTTCTTTTCTCACATCTTATTCATTCACATATGTGATATTCATCTGAGTGTGGAGTTTTTCCTTAACAAGTGAAGCAGTATCAATTGAATACTCTTTCACTCAATGCTCTTTATACACTATCTTTTGAGACATTCTAGAATCACACTGACATGATAACTATAAATTGCTTTATAGACAGAATTATCACATTCTGAAGAAGCCTGCACTTCTCACTGATTTTTAGACATGCTATTAGATGTGATTCAAAGGTTGCTTAAGCCAGTGTATAATTACAGGTGTACGCTGGCTTCTTATATATTATAATATTATACACTAAATTAATTAGTGGCTGCTATGACCTCTTTACACTTGTAAGCTAGTAGTTCAGAAGCGGCCGCGTTATTATCTGATGATCGTACGTTCTTTCAAATCACACAGTTCTCAAACAGTCGGATAAGGGGAAAGCTCAGCCACATCAAATGTTATTAGAAGCTAGATTTCAGTAAGACACTGTTACTTACTCATTCTGTGAATGAAAAGAAATTATCTGCATTTACAATGATAAATGATCACAGCTGCTTCTGAATCAGATTGAGTGAAAAAAGTGCTGTCTTACTTACATAAGCTACTCTTTAGCATTATCACTTATCTTAGTGAGTGTTTCTTAATTATTTAATAATAAACAGCTCATTGATCTATATTCTGAGCAGGTTAGCTGAGTAGTTTTAAGTAGACTAGCTGTCAGAACTATGAATTTCACATTTAATCTTATTTAATTTAATCTTATATATTTCTTAATGTGAATTCTGCTTAGACTGACTATGTAACCGTGTCTAGACTGACCGTGTGACCGTGTCTGAGACCAGGATCAAACTTTACAGTTGTCACATTGCCTAAAAGCATTACTTCTGGTCATGGTTTGTATTTATCACATTGATCCCAAATCATGTTATTTCAAATATTAAAGGTCTCAGATTCACTTTTCAAATAAAAATCTAGTCTCAGATAAAGAATATGTTTGAATTCTTAGTCACATTTTCATTCTGATTTCATTATTGAGAATGACATCAAATGAGATCATGAAATCACTTCTCACTTACATAATATCATAACATAGTGCTCATTTGTTGAAAATTCAATAGAGAGTGTTATCAAATATTATTACTTTTCTGAACACAGATTATAATTCATATAATTTTAATTATGAAAAAAATATAAAATACAAAAAAAAAACAAAAAACAAAAAACAAAACAAAAACAAGAAAAAAAAAAAAAAAGAAAAGAAAAAGAAAAAAACAAAAAATAAAAAAAAAAAAATCAACATTGCAGAGCTGCAGCATTCTCAAAATACTCACTTTTCAGAGTCTTTGCAATGTTCATCATCAACTGTGTATCTCTCACAGTGAGGATAACATGGCTGTGATGAGTCATTGTCTTAATATCATCTAATAAATAATCAGTATATATCTGTATAAATGTGAATATTTAGAAAACATACACTTAAAAAGTGTGGCCAGAGTGGACTCTGCTGCCACTTGAATGACATCAAGGGCAGAATACTGGAATTGATGATTCCTCTCATTGATTTCACAGACAAGGCAGGTGAAGATGATCTTGAGAAATATAAGATCTTCTGACTTCTGGTAAAAATGAATCTCACAGAGAGACTCTATTTTCATGATATCAGAGACTGAGCATTATCAAAAAGTGTTACTTTCATGCAATGCACATGCACTTACTGCAATGATTCATTCTCTGTGCATGTGACTGAGGGTTGCAGCTTTCTCACGCTGCATGACTCTCTCTGAGATGCTGACACTGGTTTGCAATTCACACAGTCTCTCAGTTCAGCATGTGCTGTGTGTATACAGCCCTGCATGCTGGGGCTGTGTTGATTATTATGACCTGGCATGGTACTCGCTTTTCGCGGGCCATGTTTCATTTGAGGGGGGAGGGAAAGACACAACTGTGATTTTATTAAGAAGGAATGAATAATTAGTAATGTTGAATGTAATTTAATTCTTCTGCATTTAAAATTTGATTAGTTTATACTCTTCAATTTGAGGATTTCTAAGAGTGTTTTAATAGTTTTCATACTGGCTTGGACTTAGTGATGAGTTGAAGAAGAAGAGAAAAGAGAGAAGAAAGAAATGAGAATAACTTATCTTTATAATATGAAAACAGAGAATTGCTGCAATCATTCTTTCTAGCAACAAAGATCTGTTTTCTGCATGTATCTCTGATATAGATTATATGATAACTGCATACAAAGAATATCAACACTGCATGCATTGAATGAAGATGATGTTGCTATACAACACTGTAGCTGTTTCTGTATATCTCTGAAAGCTGTTAATATTTTCTTTGTCTCTTTATATTTGATAAGTCAGTAATATATTTCAATGCACTTTCTCTTTCATCATCATCATCATCATCATCATCATCATTATCAACATTATTACTATCATCATCATCATTACCATCATTATTATCATCACTATCATCATCATCATCATCATCATCATATCATTCCTAGCCGCCTCTCCTGCCTTCACCTCTCTTCAACACTCACTGAAATCAATCATGTCATCCCTCTTCAAATATTCTGCAGTCCTGCGGACCACCAAGGCACGTGAGCGCCATCACAGATTGAAGGGAGAGAAGAAGAAGGCATTCAAGCAAGAAGAGACAGATTGTAAGACATGTTATAATGCCTTGAAGAGACTCTGTAAGAGAGTAGAATGATAACAATTTTAAGTAACACTTCTGATAGATTTAGACTGAACTAAGTATAGAAATAATGCAGATGACACCACCTGTGAGAGATTGAAGAAGAAGATAGTGAAGAGTCTCATACAGCAGTGATGAGATCAGGAGAAGTTCTGAGAATGATTTGAGTTCAAGATGAAGAGAGAGAGAGAGAAGAAGAGTATTACTGTAAATAAGTGATGACAGAAGAAGATTGAGAGAGTGTTGAAGTGAGAGACAAAGAAGTCAAAACTGATAAGTTTTTTACTTATTGAGAGATAATGATTTTTAATAATGCTTCTATTCTCTAATTGATTAGCAGGAGCTGACAGAGAAGGAGGGGATTGAGGCCTTGTTCAGGTCTCAAATACACTTTATGATCCAGGACATTGAGAAGACAGCCCTGCTCTCTGAGCATATCAATCTACTTACTGCTGAGGTGGAACCCGAGGCAGCAGACCAGGAAATGTGGGATTTTGAGGTACAGGTTGACCTGGCTGAGAGAGAGCAGCAGAAACCCTTCTCTGAGAAGACAGTGAAGAGAGATTTTGAGATGATTATCATCTCAGATGAGAAGGAGAAGAAGGAGAAGAAGAATGAGAAGTGAATTATGAAGAATGATAAGAAGAATGAGAAAGAGAAGAAGTAGATTTTTTTCTTTTTATATTAGTTAGTTGTAAGTTTAAGTTTTTAATTATTAATAATTAAAATTGATTTTGAGTTTTCAAAAATTATTGTACAAGTTGTAATCAAGTCAGGAATGATATATATATATATATATATTTAACTATCATGATTCACAAATCACTATAATATATAAGTATCAACATTTTTTCAATATTGATATTTACAATATTAATATATTTTTAATAATATCATCTGATAACATAATTTGATAACACTCTCTTTTACAATATTAATATATTTCAAGAAATATGATAGAGATTAATCAAGATTATTTGTTTACTTTTATACATCAATGATATTCAATCTGAGTTAGTACTAAAATTATAACTAAGCTAAGAAACAAGATTATTTTCTCTTATATTAATTCTTCTTATACACATCAGTGATCAGTTATTGAAAATAAATTATTATCTTTCTCAAATTATTATCATGTCTTCTGAATTCACTTCTTTCACTTCTTTTACTTCTACTGAAGATTCACAAACTCTTTAAGAAATCACTGTGAATCACAAAGTCTATATTGTTTACAATTCAACACAGAATGCTCTCTTTCAATCATGATAAATGATCACTTCATTCTTCACATCTGATTCCAGGCCATGAAATTTATAGAAAACTCAACACAAACATTGAGATGAACTATGGAATAATTATCAACAGGTTGTATTGCAGATTACTGAAGAGCTATCTCTCTGCTGCAATCACTGCAACTTCATTCAGAAACATTCATCATGAACTGATCATGACTCTGAAGGAATTTCCTGACATCTGAAGTCATCAGAATGCAGACAATAAAAGGAAAATAATCAGAAAATTACTACTGGGCTGGTAAGTTACTCTATCAGATAATGATTTTTAATAATGCTAACTTTCTAATTTGAAGGAAATCATGTGAAAATGACCACATATCAGTACTCTGATTCCACAACTCTCATCTGATAACTTCTGTGAATAATTACTTCACATATATATATCTCTGAATCTTTCTCTTCAATCAATTGAAAACCCCGAATTCTGAACACTTCTTCAAATGCTTAATTCAAATCTTCATATTTCACATCAATTCTGTCTTCAGTCCAACCTTGAGACACACTACAAAGTCAATATGCAACATCTAGAATCAGAGTTGAAGAATCATTGAAGAGTATCTCTCACTGTGAATGCATGAACTAGTACAAACAATCTTGCATTTATGAGAGTTATATGTTATTACATTGATGAGAACTGAACTTATTGAGAGATATTAATTGAATTTAAATCATTGATCAGTAGTCATACTGGGGATTATATGGCAGAGATATTAATAACTGTGATTAAAAATGACTATTGAGATATTAGTCTCAGTCTTCTTGTAATTACAACTGACAATGCTGTGAATAACTACACTATGATGAAGAGCTTGGAGCAAAAATTGACTTTGCATTCCTGAAATAGTAAACAAGGTCATATTCTCTGCATTGCTCATGTGGTTCAACTTGTGATGCAAACACTGATAAAGAATCTTAACATTGAGATGAAGAATAATGAGATGGCTGATTCTTGAGATGAGAATGAGATGAAAGTGATTACTCAAGTAACTTTTGCATTCACTTTGCAAAAGATAATGTTTTTTGATAACACTTTTTGATATTGCTTTTTAATAACACTTTTTGATAACACTACTGTTAATTTTGAATAGATTGACTAATAATTTAAATATCATAGATTCAAAACATTGCTAATATGATTTGTACCTCTTCTAAACAACAACAATGATTTCATGATATTCAACAAACAAACAAATCAGTCACATCACTGAATATGATACAGGATGTTAGAATATGGTGAAGTTCAATATATGAGATGACTGTTCAGGCTCTTTGATTGTATCAGGTGATTGATCATTGAGTGCAACACTCTGATTGAGAAAAGATTCAGATATTGAAACTTTCTGATATGAAGTGAACTCAGTTGAAATATATGATTGATTTACTGTTTCAGTTTTATAAGACAACAAAGACAGTCTCAATCACTTGTACATCAATGCTGCAGTCAGTCTGGTGAGTGTATAACAGTTTATTTACTCATCTTGAGAAGCAGTTGAATCACTCAAAAAGAAATTCAGTCTGGGATGATGCTATAGTGCAGGCTATTATTGCTGCAAGGGATAAACTGGCATATTACTACAGCAAAACTGAACAATCTTTTACAGAGTACTATACTGTAGTAGCTCTACTAGATCTCTTCTGTTGAGTTAATATCTACACTTCTCAAGATTGAACAGAGGAGGAATGAGACTTGTATGTCAAATTAGCCTGAGACTACTACAATGCCAACTATCAGAGATTTGAATAAGCAGATGTTTGAGATGTGAAGATAGTGGAATACAATTCCCTAGTAAGTAACAATCTTTGATAACACTTTATATCTCATAGAACTATAATACTAACTTTGAAACAGAACTTACATACATTGATTGCAACTGAAAATCAGGCAAAACTACATGCTTGTAAAACTGAATTTGACTGTTATCTTCAAGATGATCTGACAAATTTACACATCAAATCAATTCTAGAGTTATGAAAAATTGTTGAGAGTACATATTCAACTGTTGCACTGATGGCGCGTGATATTCTGACAATTCCATTGACAGGGGTGGGAATGGAGTGAAAGTTCAACTCAAGTCAAGATATTTGTCACTATTGTCAGAGACAATTACAAGGAGAAACAATCAAGAAACTCATGATTGTAAAACATGAAATTATCAGACAGTTTAATACCTCTGATCACAGTATATCAGAGAAGTGTAGTTTTCATGAGAAAGTGAAGAATAAACTTGCACAAGAATGTATTTAGTTGTTTCATGAGTGTTATCAATAATTATTACCAAATTCTGATTATATAAGCAATCACTGAATGAATTAAATGAGACTGATTTTGATCTTCAGTCTCAGTCTCATTCTGATTTTGAAAGAATGATCATCTTTCACAGTTTATCCTGAGAAATTACTCTCATTTCACTATTCTTGAATTAAATCTGGTCATTTTTCACACCATTTCTCTCAGAAATGGTCCATTTTCAGATTTTTTTGAGGCTTGGTCCTGGTGGGACTCACGCCAAGAAATGTATGAGATCAGACCAAATGGGACCAAATGTGAAATTCATGGTCCCGCCGGCCAGTCTAACCGTGTCTGAGATCAGAATCAGAATTTTTGATAGTTTTATTATTAATTTAACAGATCTCATTACACAGTTCTAATATTA